TCAAAAGGACTATGATAAATTGTCAACTATGTGTACGTTAATTCAAGATTTATCCCATCAAAGTGATAGTGTTCTTAGTCAATTCCAAAAGGCACAATGCACGTCTACTAGTTCTGCTAGTTCTGTTAATTCTATTAGTTCTACTAGCTCTGCTAGTTCTACTAATACACCCATACCTGTTATATCATCCCGGAATGATGGTGACATTAATGCCTGGAAACGTAATGATCAGCTCCTGCGTAGCAGACTTAATCAGTCTCAATTGGAGATTTCACTTTTGGAAAAATCTTTACAGATGAAAGATGAACATGAAAAAATGTATCAACAAGCCCCAAAAAGCTATTATATAATCAGGATTTAAGATGTATGTATATACACATAGATATCAAAATTTTAATTTATTATTCAAAATTCAAAAATTTTGTTAATAAATTTAAACAATAAGCGGTATATTTGTAGAAAAAATATACTGTATATCTTCCACTATTAATATTATTGTGGAGTTTTAAAAATTGGTTAATAACATGTTCTCTTTTTAGTAATATCTATACGTAACAATTCATCAGTTTTTAATATTTAAATTAAAAAAAACTGCATTACATTGAATCTAAACTATTATGCTACACTTTATGCATAACTGCATTAAACAAAATTTAATCGAACTATTAATTCTATGCTAAAACAACTATACTATCTAATTTTTATTAAATAAACCAGCATAATCGCAAAATAACTAATTGATATTTACTATATATACGTATTGCGATACTAGTAATTTGTTAACTAATCATCCAAGTTTTGACTGTAATAAGAAGATTAACATCTTCACTATATAATTAGAAACGTTTTTAGCAAACATTTGTCAAAAACTCCGTTTAGAGTCAATCGATTCAACTATTTAGATTTAGATTATCGTAAAAATCAATCAGTATTTTAAAAGACAAGATCACCTAATCATTATGATACTATACCTTGTGTAACAATTGATCTTAGATCGTTTAAACATTTCTTTACCAATTATGTAATAGAAATTCAACATCGCATCTATCAACAAAACTAGATTTTTTATTTGAAATTATTACTAAAGCTAGTCATAAACTTATTCACAAGAATTTATAACTTTTAAGAACAATAGATCTCCAATAAATCCTAGCGTAGCAATAATATATGTTTTATATATTCATTATCATTGATCACACAAGCATAAAGCAGTGAAACACAATGTATTTTCGTTATATAGTGCTGTGGTTTCGCATGAATCTTTTTTTTTTTGCAAAAAGATATCACAACTATCTTTAAATTTAATCAACTCCTTCCGTAAATCACTTTC